ATCAATGGCTTTTAAATGGTATATCATAAATGGGTATAGGGGTCTTTTAATTATGGTGGCTTACCACAGTTTTTCTGAGGCTCAACAGCGCGCGCTACCATTGCCTGTCAGACGTCAGTATTAATCGCGCGTGCAAAAATGACGCAAGTAACCCTAAGAAGAAACGAAAACCGCTTCAGCACTTGAAAGGCGTTAAATCCTTCGATATACGTAGTAATAGTTTCAAACTCCGTTCAAACATGTGTTTAAGTCTACGGCCAAACCGGTATGATAGAAAGCTCTATAAATAACCGGTAAAATAGGTCTAATTTATTCTTGCTTTCTCGCACGCGATACATGACGTCACATGAGCGTAGGCCTAAATAAAGGGCACGCGCAATTCAATTTTCATCTAAGGTTGTAAAGGCTAGTCTTTGATCGAGGATTGCTCGAAAACCTACCGCACAACCCATGACGGAATTTTCACATTTTATTTGAAGAGGTGAATAGCGTTTAGAGCGAAAATTTAAAACAAATCTGACAGATTTTGAGACAAGACAGGTTATTTTACTTTGCATGAATGTTAAAGTGCCTATGAAGTAAAACATTTTTTTCCGCTTATTTGAAAGGCTTTTCAAAGTAAACGAGAATGGCATTTTCATTTATGGAATATATTTTTTCGTTTTAGAGATATTCACGTTTTTGAATTATGCAAACGAGGAAAGTGATGACGTCATAGGTGGTTCCTCTAAAACAGCACAACACTCAATCGAGAATAACTAGAAATATTAAAGCAGTGTTCTTCAAACTTGGCATCAGCAATGTAAATCACAAAAGAAATTGAATGACACCTACTTTGCTGTTGCCATGGCAACACTCTTGGCTCCAGTCTCTTTCTGTGAAAAACCAAATATCCCCATTTACAACCTTTTAAAGTGGGACAGAGGGTCTTGCTCGGAACACACATGGTTCCCATATTGTCTTAACTCTCCCCATTAGATTGGTGGGAGTGGATGATTCTTGTTTAGGATAAAATCTGGGAATTTTAGTCTTAATTAAAACAGGACCAGCGGCATAACTGTTTTCATGGCAATGGCACGACGGATGTCATTATGTTTCTTTTGTGTTGTACATTTCTGGTGCCAAGTTTAAAGAACACTGCTTTAATATTTCTAGAATTATTCTCGATTGAGTGTTGTGCTGTTTTATTGGAACCACCAAGGACGTCATCACTTTCCTTACAAAAACGTAAATATCTCTCAAATGAAAAAAGATATTCCAAAAAAGAACACGCCATTCTTTTTTACTTTGAAAAGCCTTTCAAATAAGCAGCAATTATTTTTTTACTTCATAGGCACTTTAAATAAGAGCCAATTTCTTATTGCTGAAATTTGAGGTGGGGTCATACTGGCAGATTTTGAGAAAATTTATTTATTTAACCCACTAATGCCCAGTCTCTCCTTAAGTACTCGGTCGTTCGTTTTAGCCATTTCTTGACATTTAACTGTTCAAGTTTCTCATAGAAGGGTAAAAGACTTCAGAAAACAGTAGATAGAGAAAGGAAAAACATTTTGGAACATTTTTGAAAAGAGTTAGAGGTTGGGCTGTTATAGTCCATCAAAACTGTAGTAAGCCACCTCAAACTGAAAAAAGCCACAGCAATTTATGGCTGAAATAGTGAATATGGGGTGACCTCTTAATAGGTGGTCGCTTAAAAGAGGTTTCACTGTAATAAGCTGTTTAGTGCTTGAAAAAGATAAAATCTGTGATGATAAATTCCCGTCTTGGCTCATACCTTGCAGTAACCTTGACTCTAACAAGCTGTCGCGTATAGATCCAGGTACATTTGAAGGTCTATCTGAAGATCTCCTGAAACTGTAAGTTTTCATTTATCGCTGTTCCTTTGTTAATTTAGTTAATTTGCGGGGCGGGTTTGGGAGGGGGGAGGTGGGGTGGATGCTTAGCATATTACACTATGAATTGAGCGGTCTGGCTTCAGGCGGTTGATGTTGTCATGGAGTTGTCTTCCTGGGCAAGACCTATCACTCTTACCGACTTTTGGTTCTCGGTGCTCTCTCCACCGAAACTGTAAATGGATGAGGGTAAAATGTCCAGATCATCTCTCAAACTGCCAGGCTGAAGAGCTTGTCGGCTTGGATCCCAAGCAAGAGTACAAGTGGTATTCAAAGTCGCTGTTTATGCTTGCCTCTTTAGCCCCTGTGCAATTTTATAAAGTTCCATGTAACCATTCTAATTATTCACGGTAATTGCTTGTATTCTGACATTTAATCGATGTACAAAATTGTTTCTACCATCAAAGCTATTTCGTAATGACGGATGATTAGAGACATATTTGCAGTCAACGATGAAGTTCTTGGTGGTGGGTTTGGCTACTTGATGGGCTAACTGAAATGAAGTTAACTAATTTTTATTCACTGAGCTCTGATTTTTTGCAGGGTTAGGGTTGTTGTTCAGTGCCCTCATTCTGCCGGCTCTGCAGACCTTTCTCGATTTTTAGAATATTAAATATACTAAACTAGTGAGCATTACTTCGGGAAATGAAGTTGCAAAACTTGTTAGTTTATTATCTGTCGTGTCTCGTTCAACTATAGTAGGCTTTTAGAATCATGCGCTAAGACCGTCTCCCACCCTCGCAAGGCCATTATTCAGGCTTTGAGTAAACATATTTCACATCTTTGCCTATCCCTTTTCTTAAATCCGGCCAAACCTTTGTGGTTGTTCTCTTCGAAAAAGCCGCTAGCATGCGCATGACTTGAATACAGGCGTTTAGTGTAATTGCGTTGAAGTATAAACAAGGTTTACCACTTCACTTCGCAGAGTGTGGCTATATAGCTTAGTATTAAAAAAAAAAAAAATTACAAAAACCCATTTGTCTTGAGTAAACTTTTTTGCCCAATTTCTTACAGGTGTCTTCAAAATAATGGTCTTACAACAATAGCTGATGGAACATTTCGCCGTTTTCGTAATCTCAGTCAATTGTAAGTGTCGTCCCTTAGTTGTCTTAACTCCGGCGAATGGCTGACTCTCGCGGAAACTTTAACGGCTTAACATATAGTGTTTTTCTTCTGTTTTTCTATTTATTTATTTATTTATTTTTTATTTATTTTTTTTTTCCATTTCAACCGCTGAGTTGTTTCATCAGTAATATATTTGGACCAGTAATTTTGACCAAAACGTGACCGATCATCTCGACAGATTTTTCAAAGTACACAACTTGACCCCATGACGCGGCTTAGCATTTAACACTAAATGACTAATCTCGAGGGAAACAGTGAATTTTGTTTCCCGAGGAACATTGAGATTCGAGGGAAACAAAATTTACTCTTCCCCAAGAGACCAGTCATTAAGTGATTTGTTACATGGCAAAACAAAACATAAGCAAATTTTGTTGTCCAGCGACAGCATCAGGCCACATTAAACTGCGTGCTCTCATCACGTGCAACACCGGTCAACATTTCGCGGGTAACAGTGAAATGTTTCCCGTTTGACGTCATAGTTTTCGCAGTGTTGCCCGTTCATGGCATCTGGCGGTAAACATTCATTGTTCGATGTCATGTGACCATAAACTAGCCAATGAATGAGCGCGCCGTAACGGAAATAACGCCAGCTTTATAACAATAAAAGTTTATAAATGCAAGTTAAAGTACAGTAGTTATACTTCTTTGGAACACACGACAAAACGCAAACGCTAAAAATGAACACATAGCTGGGTTATTCATAATTTCACAATTTCTCATCCGCAGAAGCATTATCCTCTATATTATATTTTTATTTCAGGCGATTGGAGGATAACAAACTGACAACTGTCCCAGATTTGACTGGTGTTACTGTGATGAGTTATCTGTAAGTTAAAATTAAGATTTCATGCTACGTTCTGTGTTGTTTAGGGGAATGTCATTTTACCCCCAACAGCATTATGTGATCCTCTCTAGCGTCTCTTACCTTTAGGATAGCCTCTTAATCTAGGCTTTGAGCGAGTTGTTAAATACATGAAAGTCGGGCCATACCTAATCCTACTTTTTTTCTTTCGTCGATCATTGTTGAGTTTTTTAATCTTAGGGATCTTGTGGTTCCAGTCGAAAATCTCCTCAGTTGCTTAAAATTTGCCCATGTGAACACTTTATATAAAACCCTAAGGAATGGGGATAACCATGGAAAAAAGGTTTATTTTATAAGGTGCTGGGGATTTACTGTATCTATTTTCCCACGCATCCTCAAGTTTCTACTCAAGAAAATGCTGAAACATTCTAAGTAAAGCTATCTCAAATTCTTAGCTGTTGCCATAAGAAGTATTCTGGTTTGTTGTGAACCAGATGTCGAGTGCTATCCTATAACCCTTGGGCAGCGTATGCCAAATGGGCGTATCATTTCTGTTCTTGGTTGAAACTAACCATAATTCCTTCGTTTTGGACCTGTTTAGCTCAAATCCTGAGCATAGTCAAAATAGATCGAATTATTAAACCAGATTGCTGGTCAATATAGTATCTCTAACAAAGCAGGTAATGTCATCAGTGTATTGGGATAATTTAAATTATTTGGAAATTCGTGAAAGTCCCTTTATGGATACATTACTTCCAATGGCGCGTGCCTGAGGCTAGACGCCAATAACAAAATGAATCCGGGAAGAGGGCTTCCCTGTGTATCTTGTCCCAAGGAAAAAGTGTTGCAAGGTCACTGTTAGTACCACAACTTTGTATGGGCTCTTTAAAGGTTTTAAACCATTTTACTAACACATCCTCAAACCAAAAGTTCCTAATGTCCTGGATGAAACGAACATTCAAAGCTGTCAAAGCTCTATTTTTAATTATTGAAAAAACTGCAATGCGAGGAATATTTATGTCCTGACAACGTTCAATAATGTCTGAAATCAAGCGCATACTTCGCGCAATAAAACTCTTTTTAACATAACATGTTTGATGACTATGGGTTATGTAATACATTTAAAACATATATGACTGGATTTATGAAAACCATGTCAAGACTTTGCACTAAAACAGCCATGTGCACTTTGATTAAAAAACTCCAAAAGGCCTTAAAATCACTGCAAACGATGAAAAAAATAGACAGAGGAGAGCAAGAAGAGAGAGAGAGAGAGAGAGAGAGAGAGAGAGAGAGAGAGAGAGAGAGAGAGAAGACAAAGAATGACATTTCTTTTAATTTTTATATCGTCTACTTTGGAGAAAGTCAATGGCGAGAAAAAACGCTTAAGAGCTTCTGCCTGAGAGACCGGGGCAGACTTGGAAATGAAGGTTGGCCGATTTCGCTTAAAATTGGTACACAAAGTCATTATGTGGACTTATG